AATTTTATAATTGTTTTTTTTAAATAATGAATGTTTTAAAATAAAAAATACAAGATCTTTATGTAAAAAGTGATTAAATAGTAATCATTTAGTAATTTATATTTAGTCATTAATACATTGTTCTTTTTTTCTCTAGTCTCATATTTAAATCTATACTTTGTACATTCTTTTCTTTTCAATATTAAAATGTCTATTCTCTCAAAAATAACACAAAGAACATTGAACAGATTAAATTGCACATACCTTTTTCATTCTTTCTCAAGCTTTTAAGCGTTAGAGCGAGGCATTTTATGTTAATATCAAATAATTCAGCTTCTAGAATCATGCTTTGCTATTTTCATTGTCTATCATCTTTTTTTTTTATATACTTTAATTTGACATTTGTTATTTTACCTAGTACATGTATTATTTTTATATTACTTTAGAATTTAAATTTGTCAAGTAGAAAATATCAATGAGATTATTAATCACACAATTTTAAAAAGAGAAAGATGGATTGAAATGTTAATTCAACATCAACATGGAGCTCTTTAAACAATTTTTCAGAAAAAAGATTAACTGTATTGTCAATTGATAATCAATTATTAGAAGAAATTGAATTATAAAAAAATTTTTCAACCACATTGCATCTCAACAAGTTTGAAAAATACGATTACTATATATGATTCTTAAATATANCCTCTTTAATTTTCTTTTGGTTAATTATATATGTGTTAAAATTTATTATATATAAATTACACGTGTCGTTCACTAATTGGCTCATTTGACACGTCATCGGCAAGTGTAACTCACGCATATGATCAGTTGCACTCGGGTATTTACTCGATCTACTTAATAGACACTTAAAGTGTCTAAATGATAAAGAGATCCGTTGAGGTGTCAGTTGATCGTTGAGGACTACTTGAAGGGGCGCTTTATGTATTTTGCCAATAAATTAACTAGTGGAACTATGAAGATGTATAGAGATCAAACAGTACTATCGCCCTATTTACGAACTTTTTTTCACTTAGCAGATTGCAGGAGTCCTATACCGGATAGGAACTGTTATGTATATTGAAGTCGTTGTAGTATAGTGGTGAGTATTCCCGCCTGTCACGCGGGAGACCCGGGTTCGATCCCCGGCAACGGCGCTGTGCCTTTTTCTTTTATATAAAATTTAACAAATGTGTGTTTCAGGAAAGGAAAAGACAACTGACTAGTATATGACCAAATGTTGAAACGTTGCCTGTTAAAATTTGATTTCTAAATTATACTGTCATATGCTTTTCCTTTTCAAGACTGTTCTCTCCCATGTTTATTCAAAAAACTTAAATGTCTGTACATGGAAGACAGCACGTATGGCATGGCTGGATCTTGGGGCAATGATTATCAACTACTCCTAACACATGGAAGAAAGAGAGAGCAAAATGTTAGTTTGAAGTCATGTGGCTTGCTGCAAGTATTAGCAGTGTAATTTAAACTTGAGTCATTTGCTTGAGTCACAAAGTAAAATAAAACACCACATACTGGGGTAAAAAAGGCAGCCTGCTGCACAAAGGCATCTCGCATTAACGCAGGGTTTGAGAAACGGCCGCGCCCAAACAGAGCCGACTCAAGACCGAACCCACTAAGGCAGTAGAAATGGCGTGGGGTAGCCACTGTTTAAGCTGGTATTTACTTTTTATCCAGCATTTTTAATGCTTAGCAATAGTAGCCACTAGTTTATTAAAATTAATATGAAAAGATTGTGTTACCCTTTCTTCTATCTCTTTTCTCTCTGATCCTACGTATACAAATATTGGAGGATAGACTGCTTGTTGTTCTTCCTCTTTTGGTACCATTGATGAGGAATGGAAAACTTGTTTGCTATCAAAGTTGTTTGTAGGGTTTGCACTAGTTGCTAGTATCTTCTTCTTCAATTTAGTATTCCAGTGATTTTTCACATCATTGTCTGCTCTTCCTGGTAGCTTAGATGCTATAACAGACCATCTGCAAATTCAAAAAATAAAAATAAAAATACTTGAGGTCACTCTTAAATACTAAAAATGTTATTAAAATGGGAAAGTTAAAGAAAAAAAATCAGGTTTTAAAAGAGCAAAGAATTAAGCCTGCTTCCAAAGTTGAGTAGTAGAGAGAGCAGATAAATGTTGTCTTCCTCTTGTGTAAAATTTTCAAGTTTAATATTTGGTCTCAAGTAATTCAACCATCTTAACCGGCAACTCTTACCATAACGCTTTAGGCCTGTGTTAATTAATTTGCACACAGATAATTAGTCTTTAGTGTTGAACAAAAGGCTATATACATAATATATAATATAGTGTGTAAATTCAAAAGTTAAGGACATGGTCCTGAACTTAGAGTTTCAAGTTCAAAAGTTAAGGAAATGTAGTCTTGAAGTCCTAAAGTTAAGTTCAATAGTTAAGGACACAAGTTCAAAAGTTAAGGACATGCAGTCCTTAACTTACAGTTACAAGTTCAAAAGTTAAGGACAGACAGTCCTTAACTTACAGTTACAAGTTCAAAAGTTAAGGACAATAGGTCCTTAACTTTGATTTCCAAGTTCAAAAGTTAAGGACATGTAGTCCTTAACTAACAGTTACACGTTCAAAAGTTAAGGACAATAGTTCCTTAACTTTGACTTACAAGTTCAAAAGTTAAGGACGCTTGGTCTTGAAGTTTGAGTTCCAAGTTCAAAAGTTAAGGACATGTAGCCTTGAAGTCCTGAACTTAGAGTTCCAAGTTCAAAAGTTAAGGA